GCATCTTAGAGTGGTATCTTTCTGACTTCTTTCATATCACAGTCACCATGTTTCAAAACAATGCACAGAGCATTACGTGTACTTTTGCCAAGGCTTCTGACATTCCTTGCTATTTGCTTCAAAATCTCCAAATTTCATCTTCTCTGATTCACAGGCTGGTAGTTTTTGGCTTTATTATTCTCAAGGACACATCACTATAACAACGTGTCTCTCTGTTCTCTCCCTGCCTTCCTCCTGCATGGCCTGGGAGTCTCTAGAAACATCCTAGTGCGGTGTGATGTCTATTTCACTTAGGCTGTCTATGTTAATTCAGGCTTTCATTTACCTCTTTAGCATGCACTGCCAAATTAATCTTTCTGTCTCCATCAAGCCTCTCTAGCCTTCTGTCTATGGAATTCTGGGTTTTCTTTTACATTGTTTATCTGGCCTTGCATCAGACGAAAATCTACAGGAAGCTGCTTTCTGCACAGGCACTCGATGCAAACAGGCTCAGAGTAAATTCAGAGTGCTGTAAGATTCTGAAACACCTTGGAAAACAAATTCTCTTGAGTTCCTGCAATTTCTACAGTGAACAGAGTTTTATTGGAGTGGTTTTCTTTTCTTTTCTTTTTTTTTTTTTTTTGTCAGTACCAGGGATCAAACTCACAACTGCCTGCTTGCAAGGTAGGTGCTTATGCCACTGAGCTAAATGTCCAGCCCCTGGAGTGGTTTTCTTTGACAGCTGGTCACCTGTCAGTAACCCAGGAAGGATAAGGCTGGTTTGCTGGGGGAGCAGTGCTTTTCTTGGGTTGGGGACAAGCATTGTGTGACCATACCTGTGTTCCATACAGACTTTTGCTTTCTTGAGAATTTCCTACATATATAAATTATATTTTCTATTGGAAAGAAGTCTTCCTTAGAAACTTTGAATACTATACCACGCTCGGCTCTGTACTAAATGCTGGTTACTGAAATACATTAAACCACAGTCTACAGGAAATAGAGAAATAAAGAGGCAATGGTCTCAGAAGGTACCCTGTGGGCTGTGGGAGTGTTTAGAGAGCTTCCAGGAGCATAGAGAAGAGGTGCTTATGTGGCTTGAGATGGGCTTTGGAGACTTGAAAGGCCAGGAGAAAGGAGACTGAAATGCCATAGATTTTTAAATCATGAAGAGCTCCATGCATAATCTGAAAGTCAATGTGGTGCCAGGGAAGATTAATGAATTTCCTCTGTAGACAACAGAGGGACCTGAAGAAGACATCACACCCCTTATTATCTCGAAAGTGGTATGGCACATCCAGAAAGCTGTGGAATATTCTTCAGGATGACTCCAGGATGACAGCATTGCTTCAGGATTCTCAGGTGATGAGCCCGTGAAACCTCCAGGGAACCTCTTGGCTCTGAGTTCTCCCTTACATCATTGAGCAATATTTTTTTAAATTTATTTCATTTTGGAAAAAAGTATCTTTCATTTGGAATCAAGGCAAGATTACACACACAAATAGTTTGTCACTTCTCAGTTGAGCTAGAGGTCAGGAGACGAGGATTGAGGCACTCCTGCCCCATTTATCTGATGTGTGGAAGAGTGACTGTTCCCCGGCCTCCTGGCTCTCCTGCTCATATCTCCCTGACTGTTAGTGAGTGAGTAGGAGAAAGGAAACAGACATGGCAGATAGGAGCAGCCCTGCTCCTTCCTCATGTATGTGGGGGATCTGAGCCCACAAAAAATGACTGTGGCTGTTCGTCAGGCCGAGCAGTGTGACGAAAAGCCTCACTTTGCCCTGCCCTCAGGTTACTCCTGTCTGCCGGCGATTGGCTGCATAGACCTGTCCAATTCGGAAGCTCAGCCTTACGAATATTATCCATGTCTTACATATATGCCACATTTTTGGTATAATCTGTGTACATTTTCACTCTGACATTTCTACCTACATGTTCTTCAGTTCTTTAGCTTCTTTTTCATTGGTTCTGAATGTGAAGGAAAGACCAGGAGGCTTTTCTGAGGTCTCCACAAACCACACCAGTTCTGGGCAGGTGTGATGATGCAAGTCCGTATCCAGCACTTGGGAGGCTGAGGCAGGAGAATGACCATGCTTTTGAGGCCACGCAAGGTTACATAATGAGTCCAAAGCCAGCCTTTATTACGTAGGGTGACCGTGTCTTAAAACAACAACCAAAGACCCCTCAGGGTTCTCATGATAAATCACTATATTTGCATGTTTTGTGATAGACCTAGCCATCTGTGAAGCTGCTTACTGTGAACCAGGCCCCAACAGAATGATCCTCTCCAGGACTCTGGTAAGAGCAGTTTCTGAGACTGCTATACAGAGACCTACCTCAGCCAGCTGCACAAATGAATATAATTTCAGCCTACAGCAAAAGACAAGTATGAAATGAGCCTGTAGGAGAAGCATAAGGTGGGCAGGAGAGAGGAGCAGGAGAGCCAGGAGTCCTGGGGCAATCTGTTAACAAATCTCAGCCACCATTTTGCCCTTAGATTCTGTGATGCACCTGGGAAACCTGGTCATGGAACCTTTTATTTTAAGTAGTTCTCCTATACAGCAGCACCACCACATTCACAAGCCCACCGCTGGTGGGAGGACCCTGGCCATGAGTGGCTCCCCTTTCCAAGCTCTCCATGGCTTCACACTTGGTTCTGCTTTGCAGGGGAGCCCACCAGGACCGTTGAGCATGTATTGGAGTGTGGTGTCTTAGTGTGGTGTTCAGGCCTTGCTGCCCCTGAATCTGGCAGGGTCCCACACTCAGAAAAGGATTGGGCTGGGCTGGGTACCATGTACATGCTTCAGTTTCCAGACATAGTGTGAAGGCCATGTCCCTAATGACAGCTTGGGACACCCAGATGCTCAGTGTGGGAGATGCAGGAGCAGGGCCACAGATGGCCACACCCTGGGGCCTCCCAGCTGCTGTGGATTAGGGTGGTAGCTCTTTCTTCAATTTTATTTTCATTAGTCCGTGTTTATAGTACATCATGATGACGTTCCTTGTAGGGAGTTGGTGTGTGCCTTTAACACATCTTTGTGGAAACCATGCGATGTTTAAGTGTGTGTGTCTTATTTATTATACTTAACCTGACAGTTTCAGGCTGCGTCTGCTTCCTGCAAATGACTCAAGTTTAACCCTCTTTGTGGCGGAATAGTACTCCATTGTGTATTGACACCACAGATGACTGACCCATTTTCCCTGCCTCAGGCCAGGACACAAAGTACTCATGAGGAGGGTAGGAAACCCTGACACCAAGGGGCCATGAGTGCGTCAAGATGCAGCAGTGGCCTGGAGCACCTGTAGGTGAGCATTCCCCGTGAACACTGCCACACTTAAAACAATGCTTCACAGCAAATGAACACCGTGATGGCACAAGAAAGGCCACAGAGATAAAATAAAATCTCTATTTTTAGTATTTGTAACTGAAAACAGTGTCCTGCTTATGGAACAAGGAATCTACATTTTAATTACTCCCTGACCTCTGCAAATTGTGGCCAGAAGATCCCCCAACCAAAGGAGTGCTAAGGAATGCATACACCTTGGCACAGCTCTACGCTTTAGGACCTCTTTAATGGCCTCTGTCACATACAAAATTCCATTTTGCAAACTGTTTCATTTGTTCAAATCTTTATCCAACATTAAACAGTGAAAATGCCCAGGGTCCTCTTTTACTTGCTTTTTTCTCTTCTGGTGCCTAGAACTACATTCCCGGCATAAAATTTACTCACTGTATATTTACATAATAAATGTCAACACCACCAGTCCTTAAGACAAGAATGATTCCAAGGATCAGCACCTTACATCCAGCCTAATGACAGATAGGAAGAAAGGCTCAGTCTATCAGCAGTGCATTGACAATGGTCTAGCAAAGGCCTGATTTCCATCCTGCACTAATGCAAGACTGGAAATGCAGATAAACAGTACTCCACAGGAAACCTGAACTGTCAAGTCAGAGTACACAAGTCCCATTTGAAACCATTTGCAAACATTCTGTCCATTAAGTCCAAATGCCAAAATACTTAACATCACATTTTGTATAGTTTCCAAAGTACTTCTGTATATTTATCAAATATGTAAGCAAACATCTTATGTTTAAAATAAGATTGTCATTGTATCTTTTCTTGTGTTTCTGTTTTCTTTTTAGCTTCTTGGCAAGAGAGAAAAATACACACATGGAGAGAGAGACACACACACACACACAGAGAGAGAGAGAGAGAGAGAGAGAATAAACATCCAGGGAAGAAAAAGAAAAGTAGAAAGAAATAGGTAATGGACAAAGGTTAAAGGACAGAAACTAAGATCCCCAGTAACTGGGATGAATTAGATTCAGCTGTGTCTTCTTCCAGATTCTCATCTTAACAGGAATAACGCCATCCACACTGCAGGGTTCTGCTGGAGAGTAAGTGAGATAATACATGTGGGCACAACCAGGAAGGCACCGTGCACAGATCTGGGACCAGTCACTGAGCTGAATGAGTGCTCTGCATTCCTGTGCAGAAAAGTCCCCTTCCTGAGGGCCTGGCCACCAGCTGAGCCCACCTGAGCACACGCCTGCCAGTTAGCATTATTTCAGGAAGCCCTGCCTTGGGCGATGTTCTTAAGGCGCAAGTGTTAACAGTGCTCCTCCTGTGTAGACTTAGTCGGGTCTAAGAACATGTCTGGAAAAGCTTCTGCACATGGAACATTTCTTTACAAAAGGTGTTACACTGGAAAGCACAGTGCACTGTTCAGATATAGGAGGTAAAGTCACCTGTGGAACAAAGCCCCAAAACAAATACAAAATCTGGTGCTTGGGGGAGAAGGCTGAGGTGCAGCCCCCATGAAACCCACCCCATCCTGGTTCCTCCTCCTCCTTCACTGTCACAGTATTTTTAGATTGCATAGCTTTTTTATAACTTATAACACAGTGATGCATATTCTCTTCATCACTATTTGCAATACTAAACCAGTTGTAACCCGTAATGAGGTAAAATATTCAACTCGCCAGCAATGAAAGCAGTTCTGAGCCAGTGTGCATGTTCTTATCCCACGCTCTAGCTCTCACACATGGCTCCCTTTCCAACATTCATAAAAAAGAATTCTCCTTCTTACCGTGGTCAATGCGATTGGCCATGGAAATCATTTTAAGAAAATTATTTTCCTAATTCTTTACTTCTGAGGGAAGATATGCTTCCCCTCGGAGTCTGCAGATACCAAGAACATTATTAGAACTCACATTTTTCACAGCTAGACTTTCAAGTTCCACAAAGGTAAAATTTTCACTTCTAACAAAAGCAAGAGAGGACGTAGCAAACACAAAACCCACTGAACAAGGGCAATTAATATTATTTTATGAAGCAACATAATTCTGATAATAAAAAGCATTAAAACCAAATCCCTAGATTGTGCCTTAATTCACAGCACTGACATGCAAGTTTTAGCAGTGGGCTTGATAATCCATGGAACTTCATTTGTATATTTGCTGTTTCACTTTGCTTTAAAAATATATTCAATCTTCTTTTATTTTTTTAACATTTTTTAGAAACCTGAGCATAAGTTTACTTACCTTGTAAATCTTTTAAAAACCACATGTATTTCATATACAAATTCCCACTGGAAGATGCAAATAGTATAGAATCTTATAAGAGAGTACACTTTTATCTTACACCCATGGGTATAAAAGTGAATATTATGCACATTTCTAGTCTTTATATATTTACATAAGTATGGGAATAGTTATTTTAATATATCAGGCATAAAATAATTATATATAGTGCTTTTTATTTTTCTTTACCTGAAAAATATGTTCTGCAGTGCATATAATGTGTGTATATCTGCTTGTACATACACATGCTGAGAATTTCAAACCACTGCACCCTATTCTATGAGTCAACACCCAAAACAAATATAAATGCTCCATCAAGGGTGGATATTTTGGCTGTTTATAATTTTAAGTGAATTAAGAAACAGATTGGAATGACTATGCATTAGAGCATTACACTATGCATGTTTTCCCGCTTGTGACTCTTTTTTCGAAAATTGGTTCCAAAACGTAAAACTAATGGAATCAAGGAAACACATCCTTTGAGTGTAGAAAGATGTTTGTCAATTGATGTTTCAAAGCAGTTTCACCAATATATTACCTCAATCATACATGAGGTGTTAACCATACACCAACCAACACAGAGTAGAGTCAATCTTTTACATTTCCTGAATGTCTGATTACAGGAACACTTTTACAGGAGTGTGGTTATCTGAACCGTCTGGGTCTGGATTGCTTCACCTCAGAATGAGAATGACGGCAATACCTATCTCACAGTTCAACTCCTGGGTTTTGTGTCTCCTTGTTCCTTAATGGAGCCAGTTAACACACAGTTAATAAGGATCTAGATTATGCCACGCTCATTCTGGTTGCTAGGAACAAACTGTGATAAGACCGAGATGTCACTGTCACCTGTTTGTATCCTTGTGAAGAACAGGAAACACAGACCATCACAATGATGCAAAAGGTTTCCTCAGGTGAAGAAAGTCATCAAGAAACTTTCGGGCTGAGAGGTGCTGAGAGTTCCAGGAGTGCTGCTGTGGATAGGGTGGCTGAAGAATGCGGGGACCCCGAGAGGTGGAGGAGTTCACCTGGGGGGCAGCAGTGCTGATGAGGAAGCAACGCGATAAAGCAGAGGGATGGAGGTTGTAGGCAAAGATAGGTGGCAGCTAAGAGGACTCAAGGACAACGCTCTGAAGGGCTCAGAAGGCCGCAGAGAGTTTTACTTTTACCCTAAGTGCAGTGGGAAGTCAGAGTACTGCTGTCTGAACTGCTACTCATTAAGTTAAAAATTTAAACACTTTGTTTATTACTCAAGCAGACACCTGGACTGTGGACATGAACAGTGCTCCTGTGCCGGGAAGCAAAGCTCGCAGGGAAGGGTGTCACCTCAGCCACTGATGCTAAACCTCACTGACTCAGGTTCGAAGATGCAAAGTGGAACAGAGGCATCACCTCAGGAATTGTGTGCCCCCAACACATCCACAATCCAGTAGCTCAGCCTAAGCCACCATTTCCTTTCTTTCCTGCCCAGTGTCCTTGCCAGTTGACTGACCAGGAACAGGACCCCTGACTGCACTCATGAGAGCACCTCTGAGAAGCATCTGAGAGCCCCGCAGGCTGCAGCACACACAGCTCACCCCGCAAGTGGTGGACCTACCTCTGCAGATGGTCCCGTTGCCCACGTAGCTTGATTTGCAGGTGCAACTGTGCCCCTAGACGGTGTTGGTGCAGATGGCATTCTCGTCACAGTTGTACTGCCCACTGCCACATTCATCATGCTCTGTTTTCAGGGAGGAGGGAAAAAGAGAGTCACATTTTCTTGTCATGCAAAAGTAAGTTATCTATGAAATGCTGGTGAGCAGCATGGAGGGGAGGTCCCTGCGTACATGGGGGCTTCTATACAGGGCATGGTTCAAATCTTAATAAATCTAAAAGATAACTGAACATCAGAGCAGCCAAAACAACTTTGATCATCACTGTATCCATCAGATGAGACAGAATACCCAGTATCCACAATATGAAGGAAGGTTAATTTGCCCATGGTTACAGTCCTGATTGACTGGCTCCAACACACAGATCAGGACAGAAGAATTGAGAGAATCAAGGCTGCCAAGTCCGTAGTGGTCAGGAAGCAGAGAAGGGAACAGGAATCAGATAGGAAGGAGCCAGGCACCACACAGTAGCCCCGTTTATGACTTACCCAGTCACACCAAGGGGTCTGCGGGGGCCTTAGTCCCGTGAAGCTTCCTATCAGGATTAATGGTCACAGCACTGCTGTGAGGCCACTGCTTCTGTCTCCTTAGAAGCCTTCCACAAAGACTCCAAGGCAGCTATTCTAATGGCGAGAACTTTGTAGTCCCTCTTCCAGGAATCATTTGATCATTTCTGAAGACACGTTAGGCTGCCCTGACTGGGGACAGGACTGAACTCCAGCAACCAGAGATGAGGGGTGCTGCTTTGTATCATATAACGCGCAGCAGAACACAATGAAGACTCAGCCAGTCCAAATGCCAGCAGTGTGCCCGGCTGGGAACCCTTACTCTAATAACCTACACTGGATAGCATGGCTCATTTAAAGCAAAGAGAGTAAGGCTAAGGTGGAAGAGAGAGGTAAAGGAGCCTAGCAATCGAGAACTTACAAAGCAGGATTTGCAGAGGGGAGCACTGGTCACATGGGACACTGGTGAGCCCAGCACTGCTTTAAGGAAAGGAAGTTACTGTTACTCTCACAGCCCTACTTAAGGGGCTCCAGCAGGCTGATGCTCCACATGGCCCATTTCATAGGGCTCGAAATTCCACCCCTGGTCGTTGCCTCTGTGCAATGATTTTATTCTGCACAGTCAGATGGCAGTGACATCCTCAGTCTGTTAGACATGGAGGGAAATAGAGCCACAGTACAAAGATGGCCTCAAATGGGATAGAGGCCAAGACCTTAGAAGTAACGATCCTTGCCTCCCATGATTAGGAAGTTTATAAAGTTATGCAGATGATTACTCCATAAATTACAAGAGGGGAAAGTTTATGCCCTTTATTTATCTTAACATCTGCTAGTGTAACTCCATAACAAATTTAAGAAGAAAGACAAAGCTAATGCAACCATAAAAGATTATAAATCGAGTGAAAATCCAATCTAAAAAATTCAAAGAAATAACATAAATAGGAACAAAAATAAAATTTCAATATAGTTGGCTTAGTGAATTGCTAAATCAAGGTACCACTCCCCTGAAACATTATCTGTCTTCACTAATTTTTATTTTACAGCTCCTAACAAGGCCCTCATAATGGAAAAGTTTCCACCATGCAGAATATAGCTGCTTTAGTCACCCTCAGGCAATGGGGGTAAAGCGCTCACGTGAATCTTGCTTGATTTAATATCATAGATTTACAGAGAAATTTTTCTTCAGGCCTTAACACCAAACAAAACTGTCAGTGGAGAAGGTGAACAGGTTTGAAAGCAGAGAGAAGAGAAGATTTATGAGGACAGACTTCTAAACTGGGTTAAAGCCATGTCCAACATAATCCAAAAATAGAAAGGTGTAGAAGTCAAATCCAATACACGGACCTATCATACACACAGATACAACAGCAGGTAGTGTAGGGATAACAAGAAGAAAAAAAAAAAAAGGAAGTAACCTGCAAAGTTTTCAGTCTCCTAGTTTACATTCATTTCATAATTATTCCAGTCTATACTGGGAATAGGAAGATGGGATCCCTGCTCCTCTAGACATTTGAGTATTTATAACATGCAACTGACAGGCACCCAAGAAAGAAGTGATAAGAGCTTTAAGTAGCTGACTTCACATCTTATCATGCAAATAGGACATTTTAAGGTGAAAAGATGAACTGTTAGTAAAGATATGGGATAACAGACTTAAATTCAGAGTGTCCTAGGCAAACCAACACGTGTAGTCACACGAGATACGGGGAAAAAAGATAACCTGAAATGAGAATTCATTAGGCAACAGACGTTAGTTCTAATGGTGAGAAAAGAAAGGTCTTCCTGCAGGGGGTTTATCAACTGGACTTCTAGAAAAGTCATGGTAGAGTTAGCAGCTTTGCAGAGAAAAATTTACCACAAAGAGCACTCCAAGCCAAGGATCGGGAGATACTGCAGTTTTATGCAACATTCAAAAAGTCGGGACTCTCCTTTGCTGCCTGGTATTAACTCCCATTCTTCTTGAAGTCACCCCTTCCATGGCTCCACTGCCCTCCTGAAAATGCTTGATTTTATTGCCACCTCTCTAGTTATTTCCAGTTGATCCCTAACCCAATATTAACTTGCTCCCAATGAATTTTCCCCCTGGTTTCAAACACTTTAAACCTATACTCTTACCATGATGCTTTCTGCCATGTTTGGTGGACTACAGAAATTTTACTTGCCTTGGTAATTTATGAGACTGATTATATTACCTCCTTGGAGGCAGTCATGCTGATACTGTGATATTTGCAAACTTTATCATGAATACCTTAATTAAGCAGCTTTGCAGAGAAAAATTGTGGTATATATCTTACAACTCTCATTTTATAATATGGTATTGAACTTAGTGCCAAGACCTGAACTGGTCCTTATACAAGATTATGGAAAAATACAATGAAGGTATAATTATAAAAAAAAAAACATTACAATAAAAGGTATATTGCAAAGGATGATAGGATAAGTATGTTAAAAGCTAGCATGAATGAGTTTTTTGAAGGCATGAATGGCAATGTGTCTTTTATTGTAATACATTTTTAACTTAAAATATTTATCATAATTTTTATCACATCGCACTGATCAATTTTTGCAACAATTTTGGCCAAATAAAAACACTACGGTATGTCCTCACCCACCTATTCATCAGCCCAGGTATCATGCAACTTGTGACTCTTTCCCAAACTCAAAATGACCATGAAAGGTAAACCTCTCCCATGGAGTTAAGACATCAAGGCATCTATGGCAATGCAACTGAAGTCACTAACTTAGTACTTTCAGAACTACTTCAGAGAGTGTCAAGAAGATGGGATAAGTATGTCTGAAGTGAGGGAAATTAACAGCAATGTGTTTTTGTAATTTTTAAATTTAAACATTTATCATGTTATTCACCATACCTCCATAATTTAGTTCTCCAGGGACGATATGAAGTAATTTTGTTCATTTTACAGTAAGAAACTAAAACAAAAGAAACTAAAACTAAAACACAATCTACTGAATGTCACAAAACTGGTTAAGTAGGAAGCTCAGATGTGCCGATCTGGACAGCAGCTGAGGCATCCCTGAGCATACAAGAAGCTACGTGTGACTCAAGCTAAACTAAGATACGTGGACACAAGTTCTTCCCATTCAAACCAGAGCTGTCCTCTTCTTTCTCAATTCCATATTCTCACAGAGATCTCTTACATACTTCCTTAGAAGACAGGAACTACTGTCAAAGGACCATTATTACAAAATGCCATTGTTCATTATCTTTAGTCTCACCTAAGTTTGCAAGACAAAGAATGGATATTCTTCTAAAAACATCAAATTTCTTTCCAGCTTGTGCACAAAAAGCAAAACACTAGCATTTGTGAGCTGGAGCATAACAGAGAGATTAAGAACATAGACTCCAGAATAAACCATCCTAGCTTAGAAGATTCTAGATTTGACAACTACTAGTTCTGTGCATAGAGTAAGTTACTTATTCTATGTTTTAAGTGTCCTAATTCTAAAATACAGATAACAGAACTTAATTCCTTTTACTATCATTAGAATTAAAATAGTTAACATAGAAAAGGCACTCATGGAACATTGTAACTAGTGAGTCCTGAAAAGGATAAGTTATTTGATCCTCATTTATGTGCTAGAAGTAGGATTATTAGTGATGCTACTCTGCTACCCCCACTGCTGAATTACCTCTAGCCAGAATTAATAGCCAGAAGGTGATAACAACCCATGAGAAAACTCTGCTTTCTTGTAAAAATGATGAAATTCAAAGTATCTTTTATTTTAAATTTAAAGGATCTTGTCTTTACTGTCACCTGAAATAACACTTCATTTATCCCAGGTTGCAAAGGGCTTTTCTTTTACTTCTTTATAATAGTTGTAAAGTTTCATCAGTTCACCTTAAACTCGTAATTTATTTTGACCTAGTTTTCATACCAAGTGTGAAGTTTAGGTTGGAGTCTGTGTGGGTATAGTAAGGAGGGGAATTGTTCATTTTGGTTTATATTCATGTCCAATTATTTCGGTGCTATTTGCTTTAAAGGCTATTTTCCAACTGAATTTTTATTATACCTTTGTCAAAACCAATTAGTTACATTTTTATTAATCTGTTTCTAGTTCTTACATTTTGTTCCTTTGATATTTTGTTTATTTCTCGGCCAATATCACACTGTCTACATTAACATATATATGTACATAGCATTCCGATCAGGTAGAACACTTCTCATACTGCATTCTTCTTAAAAATTGTTTTAGCCATTCTATTTTCTCTGCCTTTCTACATAAATTTTAGATTAAGGCTTCTAATACTTTGATACAAATTGTGTTGCACTAATAGTTCAACAAGTGGAGAATCAACATCCTATCATGTGGAGTTTTACAGACCATGAGCACAGTATATCTTTCTTATTTACTTGTATATACTTTGATTTCCTTTTTAAGTGTTTTGCAATTTTCAAATTACCTTTCCATATTTTTGCCACATTCAGAACTACTTCATTTTATTTTGGAACAAGTATATTGCTAAGGCAGATTTAAGTTTAGTTTTTACACTGGTTGATACTATCGAGGTTGCTTGCTCCATAACTGGTATTTCTGTGTTG